ACCCTTCTCTCCACTCCAAGAACAAAATACATGTCTGTGTTTGTGAACCTAGTGGTCGTCTTATGTTTCACTTTTACTGTCAGCTTTTCCTAAAGGTTTTTATCCCTGACCTATTAAGAGAAACTCCACAGAGAAAAAGACCCCCGTCTTGACTCTCAGTCAAGTAGATTTCTACCTGTCCTTATCTCTAACACCCTCTGTAGTCTCATGTTGACAATAAAGAGATAGGGAAGATAATATAAGAAAAGATTTAGGATTGAATCATATGACATTTGATTTGAAATTGTACAAAATTGTGAAAGCATTAGTCTCATGCTGACTCGGTCTGAGGAAAAATCCCATTTATCATTTTGGAAATTTTTTTATTTTTAATTTAAACCAATTTACAATACAATTGACACGAGAAAACTGAAAAAAAATGTGGTTGAACTTTAACCATTGAAAGCTCATGTGTCTAATCTCTGCAGAAAAGTCTGGAGTAATTTTGAGAGGAAAAAAAAACATTGTCTTAAAAGCTGAAAAAATATCACTTTTAAGCATGAAATTTCCTAAGTCATGAGAGTCTGAAATCACATGGCTACTTCCCTGACTACTGACTTCAAATACTTTCACCCTTGTCTGAAAACCTACTGCCTACAGCCTGGCCAGAACATGGGGTGGGGATGCTCATTTGTAAAAAGCTGCCTGTATCTCACTTTGCCGTCGCCCCATCCCTAACCACAACGCCAAGATGGGTGAAAAATAAGACGCCTATATTTACATCAGATTTACATTAGACCTTCAATTCAAACATATAAAGTTTGCAGTGACTAGGCAACTTATAGCCCTTCTTATAATAAGGAAGTTTATTCCACTTTTATGATAGTATAACTAGCCTGAAGATGAGGGAAAGGCCTGAGAGGTCATCTAGAGCAGTGGTCCTCAACACTTTTGGCACCGGGGACTGGTTTCATGGAAAACAATGTTTCCACGGACTGGAGAGCAGGGGAGGGGTTGCAGGGGTGGAGTGGGAAGATGGTTTTGGGATGATTCAAGCACATTCCATTTATTGTGCACTTTATGCCTACTATTATTACATTGTAATATATAATGAAATAATTATACAACTCTCTGTAATGTAGAATGAGTGGGAACCCTGAGCTTGTTTTCCTGCAACTAGAGCTTGTTTTCCTGCAACTCCAGATAGGAGTGATGGGAGACTGACAGATCATCAGGCATTAGATTCTCATAAGGGGCATGCAGCCTAGATCCCTCATATGCACAATTTACAACAGGATTCACATTCCCATGAGAACCTAATCTAATGCCACTGCTGACCTGATAAGAGGTGAAGCTCAAACAGTAATGTGAGCAATGGGGAGTGGCTGTAAAAACAGACGAAACTTCTCTCACTCGCTCCTCACCCCCACTCCCCTCCTGTTGTGTGGCTCTGAGGTTTGAGGACCCCGATCTAGAGCCCAATCTTGTAACTAGGAAGGCACATGACTCTCCCCAAGGTCATGAGGCTGAATAGAAACACTTAAATGAAGACTTCAAAATTAGATTATCGTGTGTACATGTATCTACAGTAGAGTGTTACACACACATCTACCTTCACAGTATTCAAATCGCTCTTTACTAAGGATTTAAAGAAACAAGTTTTCAAAACTTGGCTATAGTTACTGGCTCAATCATTTGCTCACTATAAACTAGAATTCCTTCTTATTTAAATGTAACATTTCAATTGCAGGAGTTCAAATACATTATATTCTGAATAAGCCTAAGGTACAAATATTTCAAAATAATACTTTAAATAGAAAAACTTGTCTTTGGTACATTAACACTGAATTTTTCCATTTCTTCCTAAGCCAGTCATGAAATACCTACTAATTCTAAATGAAGTAAGAACTTGGTTATGTGATTCAAAAATGTCAAGAACCTCTGGCCTGCACAATCTAACATAAATGGAAGTTTGTGCAACTAACATGATTTTGGTAAAATGTATTTTTTTAATTAAAAGAGTCATATAATTATATAAAAAGCTGTTTATGTTAAAACCAAAATCAATACCAGTGATGATAACTAATGCTTACGAAGTGATTACTACGTGTTAGATATTGTGCCTACTAATTTACTATATTATCTTGTTTTATACTTTCCACAATCCCTTGGGGATAGCTATGGTTATTAGACTCATTTTACAGTTGGGAGAACTGAGCACTAGAAAAATTATGGCATTTGCTGAGATAATAAGCTAGCAAGTGGCAGAATTGAGATTGGAGCCCAGGTAGTCTTAACCACTCTATCAACCAGATCACATAGAACAGTTATTAGCAAATAAGAAAAGTATGGCTTTGTGTGAGTTTAGTTTTCAGTTAAATGGTGTGTTTCACTGATGGCTGATATGATTAGCACCTTATAAACCTTGGAAATGTTGCTTGTCAAGCATGGAAAAGTTAAATATCTGTGCTTGCTATTCTGTTCCCAAGACTAATTTTTAAAATTCCATAGTACGTTAAGGTAATAATAATGAAAAAATTAATTACATAAACAGGCCATTAGGTTAAGAGCCTACACAAGCATGACCTACCAATTTTCCAAACTGATGGTAGAAATTAGTATGCTGATGGACTTTAACCACTGCATAAAAATAACCCAACATGCCCTTGTAAATCATTGTCAAACTCATTACTCATTACAGATTGTACTTCTCATTATCATGCCACATGTAAAATCTTGACAAGATTTGTCTGACATCCAAACAAACTCTTATAAGTAACTCAAGCAGCACGTTTCTATGGTATGTCAGCCCGCTGCAGGTGTTTCTCTATCACAATGAATAATTACATCAAACAAAGACAAGAAATATTCTAAAGCTGACAAAACCACACATCTGAAATCTGTATTTTCTACCTCTTGGGAAATTAAAATCTACAAGTATAGGGGCTTCAGTGCCCATGTCTTGGGGCCATTCCAGGATTATAAAGAAAGATTTTTTTTTTTTGCAAACCCAAGGATTATAATAGTACAGGAAATTAAACTGTATTTATAGACTGGACACCAGCACACCAGCATGCTTTCTTAGCTCTTCAAATCTCCCAACAAAAATAAAAACCCCAGCAATCAAACGGGTGAGCAAGAAATGACAAGTGTTTTGACAGCTCTAGAATACTTTGAGGTATTTTTAGCATATTTCTGAGTCGTATTAGCTTAACCTGTAATAGAATATAAATGAGCCCATATGGCACAGATGTAATTATGCTCCATGTGAGAAATCCCTGTAGTAGGTTGAGGAGGGGGTTGGAGGAGAAGAATACACCAGCCCCCACCTCCCTCCCCAACCTCTCCCCCTCACCACATGTGCCTTCTGGAGGGCATGATTTACACATCATTTGCATTGAGAAGAATATGAAGAAACACATTGCTAACAACACAGTACTGAAAAGGGCAAGCAAAAGATTGGAGATTCCTAAGGGTGCTGCTCTCTGTGACTGACATCCGGTTAGGAGTAGAGGCAGCTTCCCCTGGGGATCACATTTGATGAAGCGATCTTTGATTATGTGGGCATAGCAATCATAAGGCGTAATTATTATTACTGCAAGAGAATGGGCAACAAATCTCTGGGGAAAGCCTCTGTCATAGACACTTTGCTGGCACATGCTGGAAGCGAATGTTCTCCCAAGGATCATTTTCATTCCAACCTGATATTTAGCTGAAGCTTCTTTGACTACCAGTCATGAAACATTAAATATAGATTAGAGCCAGAGAGATGTTGAAAGTTGAAATTCACCGGAGGTGCACGCTTGTGTCCTTGAGAAACAACCTCGAATGCTGTCCAGATGTTGCAGCAGCAAGGCAGAATGGTCCCAAGCTGCAAGGAGGCCACAACAGAGGAAAGAGGAGATGTTTAGCATTCCACCAGCCTTCTGTTTGGTTTATTTGTACTACATTAATTTAGCAGAGAATCCTAACAGGCTGTTAGTGGTAGATGTTGCAAAGTGTTCACTACCCCGAAAGAATGAAGAAATGCTTTTGTGCCAAGAAAAGGAGTAATTCAAAGCACGTAATTGATTTCCTACAGTTTCAAACTGTGATAAGACTAAGGTCTAGCAACAGAAACATATGTTAGCAGTTTTGTCTGTGTTTCTTGACAAATTAAAAAAAAGAGCACCCCCATAACTAGTAGATGGTTAACTTACTTTGAACATCTCACTAGAAAAAAAAAGATACTTGCAGTGGAATTTGGAATAAATTGGTTTGATTTGGAATGGTTTGCAGAGGGCAGCTGTGCTGTAGGAAGCAAAATTCATTGCCCAGGTGTGTGACGGAAACACCTCTCCCATTTCCTCAAGGAACTGGGTGTACTGCATTTACATTCAAGACTCTCTCCACTTCCCTTACCTCATCCACTTTTGCAGAACATGAATCAGAGGCAGGCTCTTCTGGTATTAGTTAGCATTCAACACGCTTTACTCAGGGAAAACTCTTGCTCACTATCACTCCCAGCAAACCAGAGATATTAAACCAGTCACCCTAGAGGCAACTGACCAGTGTTCTTCTTGTTCATAGGAAACAGAGACAGAGGAGATAAGGAGGTGAGCACCATGTAGGGATAGGAAGTGAGACCTAGGAACTCCTTGCCGATGAGGGCTGAAAAGTGCTGGCTTGGATGAACAGAGTTTTTATTCCCATAGACCTTTAGAAACAGGAGGTACTGGTTAATTCCTCAGGTCTCCCTGGAAGCAAAGAGCTGGATTAGATGATATGCTGACTACCCTCTCTTTTCCAGGTGTCTTTTACCTTCTATCAAATTAGCATACGAAAATTCTGAATCTCTCTCCCACCAAAAAAAAAAAAGCGGGGGGTGGGAGGAAGGTGGACCAGAAGCTTTGTCTGAAGTTGCAACAGTCACTGGGGGTCTCTCGTCATAGTGCTTCAGGGCGTAAGGTGATCATTAACAGTCAGCAAGGCAAGTGCCCTGAGGCATGTGAGAGCTGGGAAACAGCAGAGTCAACTCTTACCTTTTAAGCATCCCTCCTCCAGCTCTTGTTAGAGGCCCCTTCTGCAATGCCAATTCTGTGTTTATACTGATGTTGGAAATAGATATGTATGGAATAACCCCAAAGTCATGTTAAACAAATACAATTCACCAAAAAGGAAGAGCCAGTCCCTGCCAATTTTCATCAATCTTTGTTCCACTTATGTAAGCGCCCTGGCAACTGGGCGCAAAAACAACCTCAAGAAATATCATCATACTCCATCAATGGGTAGCCCTCCGATGATAGGTTTGGAGTGGGGTTGAAGGGTGGAGTGGGAAATGTTTCACCAGGGAGGTGGCCCTTGAATTGGCTCTTACAGGGTAGAAAAGAATTTTGTTGGAGGTTTGGGGTGCTAAGGAGGAGATTCCTGCAGCTGGATGGCACACTTGAAAGCACAGAGACTTTGAAATTGCAAGTTATCAGGGAACTGCAAATAGTGGGGTAAGGCTAGAGGGTAGTAGGTAAGTGGGGAGAGAAAAATAAGCTAGATGGATAGAAGGTGGTCATCCTAAGTTTTCCTGCCATTAAAGTGTCCTGAATAGAAGTAAACAAAGGATTGAGCAGAAGTGATCAAATCAGTTAATATTATAGTGGTCTAGGTGTGAGAGGATGAGTTCCTGAACCAGGGCAGTGACAGTGGGGATAGAAACTACAGGAGGAATAGGAGAGAAGTTAAGGTGGTATAATCTACTGGACTTAGTAGCTTTTACAATGTGAAGAATGAGGGCAAAAGGGAGCCTGGAATGATTCACAAGTAGAGTGAGCAAACAGCAAATACTTTCCAAATCACTGAATTTCATCTCCAAATTGATTGTTGTGTTACTTGAGAAGGAAGTTTCTTTCTGTATTTGATTTTGGTTTGATTTAGGGAGGCTTTATTTGGAATTTCCAGGTATCCCCTTCGTGTAGCAGTCCCTAAGCTTTTTGGCAACAGGGACTGGTTTCATGGAAGATAATTTTTCCACAGATTGGGGGTAGGGAGGATGGTTTTGGGATGATTCAAGTGCATTATATTTATTGTGCACTTTATTTATATTATTATTATATTGTAACACATAATGAAATATACAACTCACCATAATGTAGACTCAGTGGGAGCCCTGAACTTGTTTTCCAGCAACCAGATGGTCCCACCTGGGAGTGATGGGAGACAGTGACAGATCATCAGGCATTAGATTCTCCTAAGGAGCATGGAACCTAGATCCCTCACAGGTGCAGTTCAAATAGGGTTCACGCTTCTCTGAGAATCTAATGCCACCACTGATCTCACAGGAGGTGGAGCTCAGGTGGTAATGTGAGCAACGGGGAGCAGCTGTAAATACAGAGATGAAACTTTGCTTGCTTGCCCGCTGTTCACCTCCTGCTGTCCAGCCTGGTTCCTAACAGGCCACGGACCATTACTGGTCTGTGGCCCAGGGCTTGGGAACCCCTCCCTTAGTGGACAGCAAAGAGAAAGCGCCTGGATGAAGGCGAAGAAAGAGGGCAACTGTGCTGGGAACCTTCAGATTGTGGATAGTGGAAGTAAGGTGATGATGGTCACTAGGAGAACCTTATGAAAAAGTAATATAACATGTTCTAAAAGCTTTATTTATTTTATTATTTTATTTTTGAGACACAGTCTCACTCTGCTGCCCAGGCTGGACTGTAGTGGCACAATCTCGGCTCACTGCAACTTCTGCCTCCCAGATTCAAGTGATTCTCCTTCGTCAGCCTCCCAAGTAGCTGGGACTACGTGCACGTGCCACCGCACCTGGCTAATTTTTGTATTTTTAGTAGAGACAGGGTTTCGCCATATTAGCGAGGCTGGTCTTGAACTCTTGACCTCAGGTGATCCACCCACCTCGGCCTCCCAGGGTGCTGGGATTACAGGCGTGAGCCACCACGCCCAGTCCTAAAAGCTTTTTTAAATTATTCTTTCTGACCCAACAAATTACACTTGTAGAAATCTATCTTAACAAAATGACCAAACTGCTTTTTTTCCATTCTCATAATGTTTCAGTGAACATTTCTGTGCAAATAAATGTTTACTGCAACATTATGAGAATGGAAGAAGTTCTATATCATCAATAATTGAAGTGATTAAATAATTGTTCCAGTAGTAGTTAATGCAGGGACATAAGAGAACAAAGTAAAAAGCATAAAAATTGGAAAGGAAGAGGCAAAATAGTCATTATTCACAAGTGAGATGGGTGTACCTGTGGAAACCCGAAGACAATCAACTAAAAACTGGATATAAACAGTAGAAAGACTCAGTAAATTGACAGATTGAATGATTTGTAAAACATGTCAACAGCTTTCGGACCAGTGCGGTGGCTCATGCCTGTAATCACAGCACTTTGGGAGGTCCAGGTGGGCAGATCAAGAGGTCAGGAGATCGAGATCATCCTGGCTAACACAGTGAAACCCCGTCTCTACTAAAAACACACAAAAAATTAGCCAGGCATGGTGGTACGCACTTGTAGTCCCAGCTACCTGGGAGGCCGAGGCAAAAATCTCATTTGCCAAGGAAACATAAATAATTGAATAAATGGAAAGTATATACTAATTTAAAAAGATTTAAATATTCTATTTGAGAGAAAAACTGACTCAGTATTAAAAACTCAATTCTCCCTAAATCAATCTATAAATTTCATGAGTTTCCCTATAATACCAGTATGCTTTTTGTTCGTGATGGTAGTTTTGGGCATTTTTGTTTTGTTTTGCTTTTGAATAGGCAAAATGATTTTTCCTAGTGGTGGGGTTTAAATTTTATAAGATTTAAGAGTGATGAAGGGATACTAATCCTATTGGCCATAATATTTCAGTGAATAAAACCCCTAGGCACTGGTAATTAAGTACATGACTCAATTAATGGAAGAGAACGGCGAGTCCAGAAATAGAATCAAATACTTACTAGAATTTAACATGTGATAAATAGTGCAGCATTAGTCTGGTCTTAAATTCTGAGATGAAATTCCCTTTAGAAGAAAACTGGTAGTATTTCACGATTCAGTGGATTTTGAGTGAGTAATAATTTGCCTATTAGAGAACATTATAATTTTGTTCCATTCTTTACAACAGGCCAGGATGGGTGTATATTTGTTTCAACGCAGTTGTTTTTTCTAATTGGTGTGTCTGTGTGTGTGTGTGTGTGTGTGTGTGTGTGTGTGTGTATAAAAGTAGTCTCCACATTTGTATTTATAACCAGATACCCAGTGCGCACTATATGTGTGACATTTTTGCTTAATGCAGTATTCGTGGGTGCCCAGAGAAACAAAACCATTACATTATCATCTTTTTTAAAAGGGTTGATAGGTGAGGCATTTAAAAGTTCTGGCTAAAATAAGGTTTGGGGATTATTAACGGATTTAATTTCTGCAAGCCAACTCCATGACACATTACCATGGCTAGCTAAGCATTAACTGGATTTTCCATCCATTTCCCATATTGTTGAGCCCAACCTTAACTTGTCAGCTTGGGCAAATCCCTTAACCCCTGTAAGCCTCAGTTTCTTCCCCTGTCAAATGAGGGGGTTAGGTGAATTGATCCCTCCAGGCCTTTCTCACTCAAAGCTTCTGTTATTCTGGGTACAGCAGACCATTGCCACACTCTGTTGCACTAAACATAAGGTAAAACAAAAGGAGAAGTGTGCTTAGCTAAAAACAATGCAGACATTTTAGGTAGAGTAGTTACCAGTTTAGCACAATGATTGCCAGTCTTTCTTGAAACTGCAGCTCTGTGCCAAAAAAAAAAAAAAAAAAGTACACATCTCAATATTTGTAAATACACTTACTTATAAATTAAAAAAAAAAAAAAAAAAATGTGTATATATATGTATTAAGGTATACTGCAGTAATGAATTATGTTCATTTTAACACATCCAAAAAATATAAAGTAAGTCCTAGCGTTTTCTTCCAACACTTCAGTGGGTCATCTTGTATACCCGCTAGAATGACTGGTTTAGAGATAGAATTAGTTTGCTCTTCAATTAGTATATTTAATAGGGAGCAAACTGGTGGAGCCCAGAAGCTTTTTCAATTAATCTGTGGGTGAGGGGTAGCCAAGTATGCTTGAAAAGAAAAATCTTTTTTGAATCTGAAGTCAGAAAACCATGCTCTGACGATTAGTAGAACACTAACAAAAATGCCATTTCCCATCCCCAGGGGCTTCTACCACTATCTTTGCCTCTTAATTCTTCGTGCCTTATTTTCTTCACATGTTAAATAGAGTTAATACTACACGGCCCTATAAACCTCACAGAGTTTGTAACAAAATAGATTTTATATGTGATGTATATAGATTATATATAGTAACAAAGTAGATTATATATAGAAACCTATATATAATATAATCTGTATATAATTATCTGTATATAATATATATCATACATTATACAAATGGGAAGTATAAGAATTATTGTTACCAAATGCACAAATACTATACATTCCAATCCAGTTTAACCTTCTACAACTGACCCGATTCTTACGTACATGTAAACCTAACCAAAGAGTACCATGTACTGTATCCTAAATTGATCAAGTTTCTACTTAGGAAAGGGAACAGGGCAATTAAGTTGAAAAGCCTTCTGAGAATACTGTTGAGCTGCTCATCATTCTAACACATTTTATTCCCAGGTACACAAGAGATATTTTAGTGGCAGGGCCCCCCTACCTATTCTGCTTACACCCTGCTCCCCACACCACTCACTCTTAGCCACCCAGCCGCTCTCCTCCAAAGCACCCCACCCTGGCAGGATTGGGCTATCACTTCTTGGGCACTGTCCCATGCTCTGATAATCAACCCTTATCTGCCCTGTGAGCCATTCTTTCAGAACTTTGCCATCTCCTCACTAAGAGAACAGTATCCATGTGCAGATGGCATAAATGTCATTTATTGATGACAGGTTAATGTATGACCTCTGGCCAGGTGTAAGCCTGGGCCCGTGAAGCAAGGACTACAGCATCATTGGCAACTGTCCTTCCCCATAGTCAAGTAGGACTCAGCAGGAACCAGTTATTGCTTCTTGAACTCAGGAGAGCCCCCTGCTGGAATCCTACATTGTTCCCCAAACTTGCAGGGTGTCAACCTCTGTGCCTTGAAATTGATGGCAGCTGACATTTATTAACCACTTGATATGTGTCAGGCTTTATTGTAAGTGCTTTCCATGTTTTAATTCATGCAATAATCACAACAATCCTGTGACACTGAAATGGTATATCAGAATGGAAATCAGCTGAATATCAATTCTGGATACACATATCATTAATATCCCATCTTGATATTTTGAAGATGAAGAAATATTCTTTTATTCAACAAATATTTTTGAGCTCCTACTATAACCCAGGCACTGTTCTAGGCCCTGAGCATACTCCTATAAGCAAAACACAAAAACCCCTGCCTTCATAAAGCTTAGATAACTGTGAAGGTTAATGAAGAAAATTTTTTGGCAGTGATCTTAAATCAGACCAGACAGTCAGCTACTTCCCCTGCTGGGCCTTGCCTGTCACAGCTGAAAAGCTGCTTCTCAACTTGTGTGGAGCTATCAGAGTTATAGTCATTGGACCGGCAGCTCATCTGCTCTCATAGACGGCTTCAGCTCCAGCTTCATTTGCACCCCTGTGGGCACTGGGAGCTGAGTTGCCAAACTTCGTCTCTCATAAAGACTCCAAGAAGTGGTCTGGGACAATGCCAGAAGAGTTCACAATTCTGTCTTTACCAGCTCTGTGGACAGAGGAAGAGTGCTGATGCCGAAACGTTAAAAACGTTATAAAGTCACTTGGAAAGAGCTTAAAACAAAACAAGTACACTTTGCAATGGAAATTTCCAGCTACATGTAAGAATTTACTAAAGACAGAACCTCGACTTGGTTTTAAAAAAGAAGGCAACTTCCCTTTGTGAATTAGGAACAAAGTAAATTAAGATCTTGATCTCATGGGTACTCTACTTATAAAGAAACATCCTACCATTAGCATTTTGACAGAACTGATGTGGCCAGCTGTGATGAGGAAGCACTGTCTTTGTAAACTTTACCTCCAGGCCTTTAACATTCAGACGTCCCTTTGAACCTTGGAAGGCTACTATCTCAGAGAGAAAAAGCAGAAAATCAAATAACTAAAGTGAGGGCACATCAGAACTGCTGGGACAGCATGGCCTTGCTAAGGAAGGTAGGCTGCTCTGGGGTCACCAGCGGATGTTGAATAATTTGCAGATGTAATTTTCTAAACTGTGATGTGGGGTCAGGAGGGGGCTGATGGTGGGGGACTAGGGTCACGCTAACAATGTAAACATTATACTGCTATCTTTGCCCTCATACTCAATTCTTATTTCTTCCTGTAAATTACAATATCTTATATTTTTCTGATTTTAAAACGGTACATGGTTAGAATAAAACTGCAAGCATGGCAAAACTAACAATCGAAGGTGACAGTCCCTCATACCGTGACAATGCATTCCAGTTTGTCCAGGACACTCATAGTTTATATATGTTGTCTTGGTGTAATTACTAGTAGCAAACCCTTCATTTTCAAAGGCATCTCTGTTTGTACAATAAATTACATGTTACTCTATTCATAACCTACACCCCAGGTTTAACTATGGTTAACTCGTTCAGTCTATTTTCAAAATTCACCCTTGCCTACTAAATTCAGGAGCTCTGAAAGGTGTTTCACATGTGCTTAAGAGCATAATCTTCACAATTATTGTATGACGCCCCATCTTCCCTTCCCTGAGATTTACTTTGACAGTGTGCAGCATCTGTGCAGCATCTATGAAGGCACTCCTGCAGCCCCTCTGCTGCCCCTGTTGGCACTGGGCCACCTCGTTTTACTGTCAAAGTCAGTCAGCCCCACCTGCACTGATGATGCAGTAACATGATAGCTCCAGCGAACCAAATCCACTCAAATTGCTGCCAATGAACCAACTCTTTCTGCTCCACAAAGTCATAATGAATTCTCCAATGAAGTAGGGCACTTTTCATGGTGCACTTTGTCAATGTAGTGGCACAGCATGCCCAAGATTTTCATTAAAATAAAAAGTAAAGGAAAAAAGGAAAATCTCTTACAGATTTTTTATGAAAACAGCCCTTTTAGTGTTCATTCTCAGGCTGCCTTCTTAGTTGGCTTTAAGGGTAGATCCACGGGTACTATTGGTGTACATCCCAGTCCTGAAAGTCAAGCACCGATCTTCCACCAAGCTGGAGGGATTTGACTCTGGCCTAAGGTAAGTTATTCCCCAGGAGATGCCTTGGTCCTCATTAAAAGAGAATTCTGGCAGTATTCTATACACAAAGGCATGTTTGACTCATAGTGTGATCTCATTTGCCACATGCAATCATTTAAAAAATCTATTTCTATTAACGGTCCCCTTCCTCTTTATCTTTTCCCCTCCCTCTTCCACATTTTCTTCACAGTATTCCAGTCTCTGTGGTGTTTTATTAGCGTAATGTTTGTTCATTTTCTTACTTCTTGTACTTTATTTTTTATGGTGGTGGGAGAAGGAGGAAAAATCTTTCTTGCCTAATGGTGTCACTTTTCAACTGTCAATTTCTGGCGAACAACACTATGTCATAGCACAGACTCAATGCCATGTGCATGTGAATCCTTAATAATTGCTGCTGTGATTCAAAGAAGAAAGCTCAGGACTTATAATAAATCCTTCATATTATTACCTTTTCGACAGAACATAAATATAGATGTCCAGATATTTAAAATATTGGGTGGGCTCAGGAAATAGAGACATTTTGTTTTTCATGGCATCCAATAGCTAACCAACAGGAAAGAAAGCAGACAGGAATGGTATTTTTGTCTCTTCAGCATTTGCTAACAGAAAACCTACTTTTCATCGAAGCTGCTTAACTGAATGTACATTAAACAGCAAACCATATCAGAAAAACCTTTAGTTTTGATAATTTTCACTGCTTACATTTTTCTGTCTTGGTGTCTCAGAAGTTTCTCTTGCCATTCAGCCAGTAGCTAACCGTTGCATCCCGATGATACATTCAAACATAAGAATTCAGTGTAAGGTAAAAAAAAAAAAAAAAAAAGACTCTCTCAGATCTGGAAGGAGGGAGTTCTCAAAGCTGCCCACATTCCTGCATACTACAGCTCCACATTTCCTAAGACCCTGGCTTAGTTTGCCAAATGGGACAAGTTAAGATAATTTTAAGCAGCCCTAAATTGCACTGCAGCATTTTGTATGAAGGAACTGAAATTCTGTGCTAATTAGGAATATTTATATCATGGGGAATGTATTGCAGAGTGGAATTTTTAAAAACCAAATTATACTGAAATCTCACCATAACACTCTCCTTAGACTTCCTGCTGTGGGACCTTCTTCATGGTATAAGTGGCTTCTAAAAAGATCTTTTCAGTGCTTCAGGGATGAAACCTCTTGAATAGTGCCTAATATCCCCCAGTTGATTCAGCATTGCAGCCTAGATTTCTATAGAAGTTTCAGGGCAACAAATACTAATAAACCTTGGAATGATTAAATTAATACGGTTTATTGATAAAGTATTACAGTCTATATTTTGGGAGATTTTAAACTTTGCCAAATGTAAGTCATTATTTGATTAGTGCTATGGTTTGGATGTGGTTGGTTCCCACCAAAACTCATGTTGAAATTTGGTGTCCAGTGTAGTGATGTCAGGAGGTGGGGCTGATGGGAGGGGTTTGGGTCATGGGGGCAGATCCCTCATGAATAGCTTGGTGCTGTTCTTGGGGTGAGTTCTCACTTTTTTTG